TGAAGTATTATAAAGTATATATATACTAGAAGACCTGGCGAACTTCGTATCGCCCTATAATCAAGAAATATCTGTTACGTTTTTTATTTATATTTTTGGAGTTTACCTGTAAGCCATAAATCTCCGTGTTTTGAAGTGCGACAGAATGATTGACATATTAGTTAGTTGTCAAATCTAATGTCAAAAAAAACGTTTGTATGGGAAATAGAAAAGGGCTGATTTTATGGTTTTCCCAGTAATGAATCAATTTTTTTCAGCTTTTAAACCTTCCCTGAACCTCTACGAACATTTCAAGACTAAGATAAGATAAATCCGTTCAGCCGTTCTCAAGTTTTAGCGAGACTAAGGAACAGCAATCCATTTTTATATATATAGAAGATAGAAGATATATCTGTAGTATATATACATAAATCTGAGCGAGGTTAATTTGCTTTTGTTTTGTTTTGGTACTTCTTCTTCGAGTCTCGGAACTGTTACAAACTGTGTAAGTTTTGAAGTACATAGTTGATAATCAAGTTGTGTTATTTATATATACATATTAAGGATGTGACTTATTATACTACTGGCTTTACATGATCCAGTTTTCTGTCTATATATCTCTGGATTTTCAATTTCCTGAATAGTTCTTAGCATTAAATATAGAAGAATTTAATTAATATTACTGGATATAAAAAATATATACGTAAAAAAGTTGAAACGGTTAGTTCATTTCTCACAAAACGGTAAATCTAGAAGATAATTTGGGCTAAATATTATATTGTAGACTTAGTAATATAATGTACCTTTTATATACATTATTTGTAGTTTTCTTATCAGGTTAATCGTAATTTTATTTCGTATTATAAAGATATGTGTGTCTCGATCGTGTTTTGTTTATTAATTCAATTTAGTGTGGCCCGGAGTAGGGCACTGTGTGGTGTTGTAGTTCATTACAGTGGTAAGTTCAACCATTCATTAAATATAAACGTACAAATAATGAACAAAAAATGTTTAAAGCATTTTGCATTAAGAATATTATTCATAGTGTATCAATTTGTTGATTAACGAAGTATATTTTGAAGAAATTATTTGGTATATTAGAAAATAACAAAAGTAAAGTTTTGCTTATAAAGACTAACGCTCAATGAAACGAACAGTCGTAATTAGTCATTATTTGTATCATTCTAGTTGTTATATATTTATGTAATAATATTATATAAGCTCAATGAATAAAAAATATAATAAAAATATTTCCGTTATCATCAGGCTTATATACTTATATACAACATGATATAAAAATTAATATATACTTATCTTTACATTTTACAATGGCATTACTGGATAAAAACGTAATATTGATTAATTATATCAACATATAATAGATAAGGAAATTTCACGTGTCATAAAAATATATTATATGTAATATTCTACTTATCCGAGTCATATGTACTTTCTAAGAGTATTTAGACACCATTGACATACGGTGAAGGAAAACATCGTGAGGAAATCTGGACTTATAATTTCATAATTATAAGTTTGAAATCACCAACTCGTCTTGAGCAAGCGTGGTGATTAATGCTCAAACCTTCTCCTTGTGAAAAAGATGCCTTTGCTCAGCAGTGGGCTCTGATAGGCTGATGATGATTCTGCTTATATAAATTATTTTAGCTATATAGTTTAACTCGGCTTTTGTAGTAATTTTTATAATTTCAAAGCTTATCAGTAAAGCAATTATAGGCATAGTTTAGGAACATTTAATTCAATGATTTCAAGAAATCAATCGTTGACAAATGGAAGCTGAAATAATGAATTAAATTTACAAATACAATAAATATTATTCAACAAAGTAACTTATTTGCATACTTCCTAAAGACAATGTTAATGACAACCGTGACAGTAAACAGAAGATTAAAGTCTTGGAGGAACGTGCGTAAAAAACTAAACAATTGTATTTTGCGATATACATACATTACAATGTAAAAGCATTATATATCGTAATAAATTAAGCACAAAATAATTACTAATTGCAAAAAAATACTTTAAAGTCGTTAATATACAAAAAATTTCAGCTTAAACATTATTTTGTCAAATTGCTGCTAATGTAGATACGCGGAATTATCCCATTTTAGTTACGCGATTTGATTTTTCCCCGACGATATGTGATTAATAAGACAATTAAAGCTAGACTTAAATTCTGCTTTATTTAATTTATATATCAGCGTTGGAAAGATTTAATAAGAAGTTATTATGAGTTATGTAGTACTTATATTGACTATTACGCTGTACATTTTCAAAAGTAATAAGCTATATAATTGTTTATGGCGAATTATTAACCATACTGCTAATTGATTTAATAACACAACTATTTGTTTATAAGTCAAATGTATTCAATAAATTATGGAATTGTAATAGAATTGATTTTATTTTCTTTTAATTGTTCACTTGTTAGATAAAGGATCAAATTATCCTTTGAAATGAAAACTGAATCTTTCGTATTGATATAAGTATTGATTATAACTGAAATTATAACAAAACATTTATCATGACTGATAAAGTATCGATGTATTTAAACTTATAGTAAAGAATATAGGATGCTGTAAAACATAAGGTAATTCACAAAAAAAAGAATAATATCAAAGTCTGCTAATTGTCTTTCTACTCGTATCACGACCACTAAATCCGCGTCTTAAATAGTAAATAAATAAGTATATATAAATCTTATAAGTGGATCTAATTCCGCAAAAGTTTTTTGAACTAAAGGCGTATCTAAAAATATTGAGACAGTTTCATCGAATACAAATTTTGAATTTTTTTTTTAAATAAATTAGTTTCTTGACAATTAAATCATAAATTAATAGTTTCAAACCAATACTATAACTGAGTACTTTTTAGTTTGTCCTTGTGAGACTATTAAAATATAATAAGAATACTATTTAATAAATAAACTAACAAACATACCAAATTCTTTAAGTAATATCTTTTTTGTTTTTATATTATATATGTCGAACTCCTGAATTCATGAAATATTAGAATACTCAATTTGAACATTGTATATTGAAATAGAGATTTAATTTGATGTATAGTAGACTGTTTTGATATCTTCTTCAATCAAATACACTATAATTACAGTTAGCGTTATATTATTTTTATGAGAACGTTTTATTCGTTGACGTTGTCCTACAGCTTTTTTCATATAACAGCTAATTTATATTAGATTCTTTCTAATATCGTCTGCCCGTGATCACGGTTGCTGGAAAGAAACCAGGAGTATGTAGTTTATAATAATAAAAAATGCGGATATATTAGTTTTAATTATACAGAGTTTTTCCAATATTTATCATATATGGAATTAGTTAATTATATCAAAAAAGGGACCATGTTGTGAATGCATCTGAAACTTTAATCAATCTGTATATGTATATAGGAAAAACATGACCATATATATATGGTTTAGTCTGTGGTGGCCTAATGGTTAAAGAGCCCGCCTCTCGTTGCCGAGGGCGCAGGTTCGATCCTGGCCCGGGCAAGTACCAATGTGATTTTTCCGAATCATATGTACTTTCTAAGATTATTAAGACATCACTGATTAATGCTGAGTCCCAAAAGAGGGTTGATGTCAGGCAGGCGGTCGGTCGTAATACAATTAGCCAAAACTATTCACAACCTGTAAGGCAGACCCTGGCTAAAGTTGGGAAATTTCCAGATAGAAGAAGAAGAAGATATGGTTTGGTTTCGTTTAAAAGCTGTAGTTAATGAATGTAATAGATACTTCTACTGGATTGTTGATAGCATAGCTTTGTGAATACATCCGTACGGTTTACGTAAACTTTAATGAATATATTGAGCTCAATACAAGAGCAATCAGTAGTTGAATACATCGTGTAGTTTGTTTTGAAGTGATTGAAACATAACAAGAAATGAGTAACGCAAAAGTAATCGACAAACGTCATATTTAAAGTACTTACTTACGTTAAATAGCTTTTTACTTCTCACTACATTTCACGACCTATTGATAAAACTGCGATAAAAATATAAAATAATAATAATTTTATATAGAGTAATAAATAAAATGTTTGATTATATCTGTAAAAGAAATTTATTTGTATAATCTTTCCTAGGATATTGAGTATCTGAATCTATTCTACCTGATTAATTTTCTGTCCGAGATTTTATTTCTCCATTGTTAAAAGTATTATTAAAGTGATTATTTTAAAGTGTTTCATTGGATATAAATTTAGATTTGATATTTTCACAATTAAGAAATAGTTATACTTGATATATAACCATTTCTCAATTGTGAAAAATATTTTTTTTCAAATATTTCGTGGAAATCATCATGAAATTTACATGTTATATACATTTTTTATACCAAAAAAGAATTGACACGAGAGGAATATTAAATAGATAACTGATCAGAGACATAGATAATGATTTTAGAACAGCGATAATAATAAATACGTAAAGTAAAACAATAAATATTGTCTCTTATCTATACGTCATATATGTTTGAAGTTAATATATTTTAAGGATAATGAAATACGAGTCACTATATCTCCTATATAACTTTATTTGATTCAAAACTATGAAATTAAAATTATTTGAATGTTCCCATAATATGTTTTACTGACGAAACAGCATAAAAAAACAAGAAGATATATTCTGGGTCATACAGAATGAGTAGTATTACTTTCAAAGACAAAACCTCTCCTCTCTAAAAGGTAAACTATTATGAGAGTTAAATATCGGAATTCTTAAGTATTATATAGTACAGGAATGACCTTAAATTAGTGATAAGATTACGATTATATCTTGTGTATATTATATTATATGATACAAATAGATATTGAAGTTTACAAGATCGATTAATTAAAATTTGATGATGTTTGTAAATATTTGATATTCATTCAGCCGTGACTAGAATTTGTTTAATGAATTTAATAGGATTTCGCGTAATTTTACGATGAGAAAAGTAGCGTTAATGAAATGAATTTTCATTACAGGGCATATTGTAACCATCCACTATGGCGCAGGATAATACCAATTCAACAGTCGAAATGGGCACCAGTGATCAGGTAATATTTATGTATAAAACTACTAAAAAGAGCGATATTTAGTTTCATGATTTCTTATAGGAAATCATTCCTGGGAATTCCATGTATAGTATCTGAAGATAAGCCAATAATTATCAGCAGTTCTTTAAATGTAACATTGAAATGCTAAAGTTATATGTACTTATAAAAATTCACACATACATTATAATACATGAATTTTTACTATAATAACAATAAGTAGTTACGTAATTGATAACCTCACTGATCTCATGTGCTAGGAACAAGTTTCTTGTTGTTCGAGCGAAAAAATATAAGCATTTGTATAATCGCTATAGTATTGTAGTGTGCATAAACGTTTTTGTGTCGTTTTTCATTCCTATATGACTTCAAAGTAGTTAAACTAGTTTTGTTAGAACGAAACGTAATCTCAAAAACTTATCATAGTATTATCATGAACGTTTAAGGTGTAGTGTTGGATAACTTTGTTGAAATCGAGAGTAATTTTTATCGTTTATCAATCGTATCTCGATTGATATCTTGATGTATACGTGAAATATTACATACAGCATCTGTGTTGGGAATGTTGGCATTTTATATACATTTTTAGATCCTGGTCGCACCAAAAAAGTCAAAGAAGCTAGTGTACGCTATTGGTTTTATCGCGATGTGTGCTGTCATAGCTGTGGTCATCACCCTCGCGGTTGTGCTCACAAGGGGTGGTGATGCTGAGGATATTAGAACAACAGAAGGACCGACACCAGTTACAACACCACCAACAGTTCCAACAACAACACCGATCACAACAACGACAGACCAACCGACCACTAACCCCCCACCGCCAGGCGATATGGATTTGAATGACGTTTTAAATGGTGAATATTCACCAGCATCGTTCAATGGATCATGGGTTTCAGGTAGGTTGATTAATAAATTTTATCCTTATTTTTTTTCATTTCCTAAAACCTATTACTAGATATAAAACGCCCCTAAAATTTCTCTATATTTAAAGGAAATGATAACAATTTTAAACAAAGTATTTTGTGACCCTTTTGCTACCCACTATCGTAACTATTATCATAAACAAAAAAATTTGCTATAAGATTAATTTGTTATAAATATTTAATCATTTATTTAAATTATTGTACTTACTATTGCTCGACACCAAACGAAGTTTGCCCAGCAGTATGTTTGACAGTCATATACTTTCGATATAATAATAATAATAATGAAATTTCTTACAATATATTTACTAATATTAAGTTAAGAGGGCAACGTCTATCAACAATACTCTAGCAATATTCTCATCTGTTTGAATTTATATATTATAGTTGGTTTCTATCGTTGTAGGAAATGAAATAATGTTCAGAAATGTTAATGGGGAGTTGATACTATACAACATTGACACTTCTGTGCCCAGGACACTCATTGATAATTCATCTCAGGTAATATAAGAAGCACCAAATAGACTTAATACTGATATTTAATTAAGTAATCACAGGATATTTGTGTTGTCTTCACATTCAAAGATGTAGTTGTTTATACAAACAAAAATTTATTGTGTAGATTTATAAAAGGAAGTTTCTTATTTGTTATGCATTTCTTTTTGTAAATACGTATGTATTATTTAATTTTTCAAACAAGAACATTTTTTTTTGCTTGTAGGTCTATTATCTAATATAACTGAAAATCTTCTCATCCTCTCTATGGAATAAATTATTAGGATATCTGTATACCAAAAGAACGAAAGGAGAGAAGATATATATATGTATCTAAACGTATTCCAATAACGAGTAATTTTTAAATAAAAGAAACAGCTAAGCGATGAAATTACTTCATAATTAATGAGTTATACTTATGTATTTGTTAAATTAAAGTTGTATGTTCGTTAGTAATGTATATGAATCTAGATTTATCATAAACTTCAACTATACTCGTATATCACGACTAAGCTTTGTTAACTCGGTAAAGCGGTACGGTATACTGCCTTCAGTTTAAACTTAATTCCTGAATTATTAAACTTAGTGTGGAACTTGTTAGTGCAGTTAAAATTTTCATCGTTTCATCTAGATTTAAATTATTAATATTTTAATATATGTTGTATTTCTTTAGGTACTTCTGAATTCCTACCGCGTGTCGGAATTATCGGCTGATCGGCAATATGTTGCTCTTTCATATGGAGAGGAATCGGTATGTATTATTGGTACCTACATATATGTAACTGAGTGATTAAATATATAATACAAGAAAACATCTCTGTTATGGAGAAAAAAATAAAGATTTTTAGTTGTTTTAACGTAAGACTGTGTTGTATTATAATGATATTTAGTTTGGAAATCAGTGAAGCTAAAGATATTGTAAAAAGCGTAACGAAGTAGTTTTGCAAACTGTATTAAGTGGGCTCTCGTGCCAAAGCTCTGTTATAGCGGACGTGATCTTAAATAATTTGCTCCGGAGAGATCGTTTGTGCACGTAATTGAAATACGGTTTAGTGGATTTTAATTATGTATTCAATAATGAAAATTGGATTTTTTATATTGCTCTGGTATTTTATTTGTTTTTTCTATTTTTTTAACTTGATTTTACTGATTTTTATGTCATAGCTGCTATGTAACGGGAAAAATTGCCTATTATCTTGGGGGATTATCTTATCTTGGGGGAAGATTTGATAAAATGAATGATTCTTTTAGTAAGATCTTGGTTTTAACTTGATTTTACTGATTGTTATAAATCGTAGCTGCTATGTAAATTGGAAAAATAGTCTATTACCCAATATCTTGGGGTAAAAATATTGATAAAATGAATGATTCTTTTAGTAAGGTCTTGTTTTTAATAATTCATTTTAACCAGAATGTTATTTTGTAAACGATTTTTCTTACCTATAACGTACGTATTTTTCTTACTTATAATAAAGTTGGTTGCTCTTACGTCAGATATATCGCCACAGTTTTGAAGCTTTGTACGTGGCTGTCGACGTATCAAATGGAAACATTTTCAACATCACGCCTCAAGGAGTTGCCAGTGATATGTCAGTTCTTCAAAACTTTGTGTGGGGACCATTCGGGACATCCCTGGCATTTGTATACAAGAATAATATATACTACCAGCCTAATCTGACATCTTCTGCTCAACAAATAACATTTTCTGGCATTGAAAATGTCATTTACAATGGCGTTCCTGATTGGGTATATGAAGGTATATACATGTAAAGAAAATGTTGAATAATTGTTATTTAAATTTAACTTCTTTTTAACCAATGAATTTGGCTTGGTTGTAATAAGAAAATTTGCTCTTGGCTGTAATAAGCGCATTAGATTGTTAATTCACGTTTAATAATTTATCAGAGGAGGTGTTCAGTTCCAACAACGCGATGTGGTTTTCCAACGATGGTTCAAGACTGGCGTACGCTTCTTTCAACGATAGCAATGTACGCGTGATGAAGATACCCCACTTCGGTGTACCCGGAGCCGTTGAATTCCAATACACTCGACATCGCGATATACGTTATCCGAAGGTTAAAAAATTACTTAATATTAAAATTATTTTGGGTTTGTATTCGTATTCTAAATGAGAAAACCTTCAAATTACTTCTGTTTTAAAGATATTTTATTGAATTTTTGCGACTGTGAAATAATTTTAGTCGAGATTCCGCTCAAAATATGTATACTTCTGTGTATGTATATAGACTATTTAGTAATATTCTTTTCTATGATCTACAATAGATGAGTGTAGTACTTATAAGTTTATTAATGATGAAAGAAAAGCCTCTTTGAGTGATGCGTTACATTTTACTTACTTAGAAAAAGAGACTGTTTCATACTCTTTAATGAATTCTTATTTATATATCAGATACTATGTATTGTAGTAGATAAAATTAGAAGTTAATTTCTAGAAAACACAGAGGTTATATGTTCATTGTAAGTTTATAATTTTATCATGTCGGTGTACGGAGAATAATATTTCTGTTTAATTCCTTACCCACCCTCCATGTCTAATTAATATGGAGCTGAGAACACTTGAACTGTAAGAAGTTATACCTCTTAATAATGTACTGGCTTTGGAGTTTCTGTCTGAAATTGTGGTGGTTAATTTAACAACAGAATTTGATATTAATTGATCGTTAGCATAATATTTGGTTTTAGAAGTAATGTAATAAAATATTATGAAGGATTTAATATTTCATATAATAATTAAAATTATACTAATTACATTTTATTGTAGTCGTTACGATTCGCTGCCTTTCTCGTCTTTGATCGTCTTTTTAGAAATAAATGTTTCGAGAGATAATGTGCTGTGTCTATAACATAAATAATTTGAATCTCACTGGCTTTGTAATTAAAGTAAAACTCGCGAAAATATTGCATTTATTATATTTGTACAAAATAAGAAGTAAGAAAGATGTTTTTTTGGTATTGTACAATTTCATCATTATATGTAATTTAGCTGAATGCTCGGTTGAACTCAAATCTTTTCATAACTCGCTAGGATTTTTAACTCATGCTAATTGTAGCTCATGTATATATTGATATACTTACATTATTTCTTGTTCTTACAGCCTGGAACAAATAATCCATCCGTGAGAGTGACCATCCGTAATTTAGCAGCCAACATTGAAAGAACATTTACACCCCCATCTGATCTTAATGAGTAAGTAAAATTATCAATAATGAAAAAACATTAAATATACTGTAAATAAGATTTAATGAGCTACAATAATTGTGGAACATAAACCTAAATATTATGTGGTTCAAGTGTTTAAGAATGTTATACGTAATAAATATGATGTTTTAAAATTCCAGACCGATTTTGGCAAGAGTTCAGTTTGTGGGAAATCAGAGTATTGCTATAATGTGGATGAATAGGGTTCAGTCACAACTAAAAGTCGATATATGCTCCGAAACTAATCAGGATTGCGTTACAGTAAGAAAATAGTTTGTTTAATATTTTTATAGTTGAAGTTATTCCATATTTCTCAATTTAGAATTTTGACTAACTGCATAATAGCACAATCTATCTTTAGATAGGTTTAAACCAATATTTTCATCACTCCTTTAACTGAAAAGGTGTAATATTTTTTCTTTAAACAAAGACATATACATGTCAAATACTAAAAAATACAATTTCATTAGATATTTAGATACAACGAACCCAACGGCTGGATAACAAACGTACCGATGGTATTCAACGCGCAGGGTAATGCGTTCATCACTATTTTACCTGACGTAAGTAATTAAGATTATAATGATAGCTTTCCGTCCGCAGCTTCGCCCGAGTGGAGTTCGGTTATATCGCGTTTCCAAGAGAACCTTTCAAAAGTCTGGAATAAAAACTATCCTATGTTCTTTCTCAAGGTCAACTCTATATCTGTACCAAATTTCATTAAAATCTGTTAAGTGGTTTAAACGTGAAAGCGTAACAGACAGATAGACAGACAGAGTTACTTTCGCATTTATAAAAATAGTACGGATAAATTAAATATATAGTAAAGAAATAAAATATTTTTATTGTTTTCTAGTCCGTCAATAATGTTCGCTACAAACAAATTCTTCAAGTATCAAATACCAATGGTACTTCCTGGACTGTACAAAGTAGAACTAACACAGCCCACACAGTTATAGATATCCTTGCTTGGACTCCAGATGATGTTATGTAAGTTAAATAATAATTAATTTAAGACAAATAGTTTTTGGTGTCTCTCAAAGGCATCTCTGATTGGCGTATTTCTCTCTTTACGTAATCTCTTTTTACATTATATTGATAGTATTATATCTTCCAACAACGATTTTTCTATCGTTAATTGAGACCAAGCATTGCTCATAATATTTGTTTGTTAGCAATCATAAATACAGTTTCAGTCAAGATGAATAGAGGATGTAAATTAATTGTACTGATCTATTTTTATAGCTGGTACACTGCGACCGGTATAAATGATACGGCGGAGCAGCATATTTATTCTGCCAGCAGTGCTGGTGTGTCATGCTTCACTTGCACAGTTGTTCGTCCAGATGGCAGCACCTGTCTTTATAACGAGGGCAGCGTCTCTGGCTCTAGGATCAGTATCAATTGTGGTGGGCCAGCGATACCACAAATATTTATATACGACGTGGTGAGTATTTTTACAAATTTCTTACGACCAATTGAAACAAATAAAGAGACTAATGATTTTTGGACAGTATTTATTCGGAGGTATTTATTTATAAATCAAAGTGATTTTTTTTTCACATCACAAGATCACAAATATAGACGACGTCAGTTTCATAAATTGAGGTGAATCTACAACATACTTTTAGTACATAAGAGTTAGTTATATGATACTATGTAAAAAAATAATATTTTCTATTTAATTGATAAGGAGATGTATTAAATTGTCGGTATACTCGTAAGCCTATTTATATTATGAATACGACTTTTTATGTCTATGTACTTACACTACTACTATCTTGAGTATAAGTACATTTTATCTTTTCAAACATTTTAACTCATCAGGATGTAATTTCTGTGTTTCCGTCACATACAAGTTTAATGTAATAATTTGTAACTTCAGGTGAGTCGCGACTTCATACTTTATTTTATGTTTCAGAATGGCACTCGTATATCGGTGTGGGATGACAACGAAAGGATATCGAATCTCTCGTCTGTAAACAGTTTACCTGTTGTTTTACGAAGAAAATTAGCGTTAGGAGCTGGCATCCCAGATGCCGATGTCCAGATACAAGTACCGAGAGATTACCAGTCACGCAACAATGTACCATTACTTGTTAATGTGTAAGCACTCCTTTATCTCAATAGCGTTGTGTTGTTTGCTAAAGAATCTTCTTTTTAAAACTTTTCTTATTATTTTTCCCCTTTGCATAAATTTTATTTGACTGCTTTCCCGAGTTTCATGAATACTTATGTTATTGTTCCATTGATCTTTAATGATTTCTGTATAACTGTTTCAGCTACGCAGGTCCTGATTCGTCGTCAGTGACAAAGCAATGGAATGTTGACTGGGGTTCGTATTTGGTGAATCACTATGGCATCGCTGTTGCTACCATCGATGGAAGAGGGTCTGGTTTGAAGGGAGTCGAAAACATGTTCGCATTGAACAGACAACTTGGATCAGTTGAAATTGAGGACCAAATTTCTGCGACTAAGTAAAAAACTTATCTTTGTTATAATATAAGGAGATTAGGAGCATATGCTCTGTATCTAATAATCTGTTTGTACTTCAGATTGCTGCATCAGGAGTTGCCATGGTTGGACAGTTCGCGGACTTGTATATGGGGCTGGTCTTATGGAGGATATGCTGCATCGCTAGCGCTGGCTCGCGGCGATGTCTTCAAATGTGCGATCGCTGTAGCCCCCGTAGTCGACTGGCGTTTTTATGGTATATCAAAGCAAATATATTGTTATGTAGATCGGTTTCATAGATAAAACTTAATAGACTTACAAAACTGTTATCTTCTATATATATAAAAATGGATTGCTGTTCCTTAGTCTAACTAAAACTCGAGAATAGCTGAACGGATTTATCTTATCTTAGTCTTGAAATGTTCGTGGAGGTTCAGGGAAGGTATAAAAGCTGAAAAAAATTGATTCATTACTGGGAAAACCATAAAAACAGTCCTTTTCTATTTCCCATACAAACATTTTTTTTGACATTAGATTTGACAACTAACTAATATGTCAATCATTCTGTCGCACCTCAAAACACGGAGATTTATGGCTTACCGGTAAACTCCAAAAATATAAATAAAAAAACGTAATAGATATTTCTTGATTATAGGGCGATACGAAGTTCGGCAGGTCTTCTAGTTAAATATAATATATTTTGACAGCAATGTCAATACTAAGCGCAATACTGCTTGTACAGAAAAGAGACATGGGAATTCATATTAAAAATAAAAAAAAATTAAAGATTATCAACTTCATTACTACACAAGTAATAATGGATTGTCTTTTATAAAGTTTAAATCATATACTTTTCATTAGAATTTAAATATTGCAAATGTTGTTTTTTTTTGTTTAAAACATTGTATTGTTAATAAATGTCTATATTATGTTCAGTTGGACAAATTATTCTCACTTATAAATTTGTCTTCTCAATGATACGGATGAAATGATAGATTAAAATGTTTACTACATGAGGTTACTTAGGTAATAATTGGTTAAGAACTTGCAAATCTGAAATACGTTCGGAGTTATTGCATAAAGGAGACATTATTATATTTATCATAGCCAATACTCATTTGAGTTACTCATTTTTTTTGTAACATTGAGAGTTATTATATCATAGTTCCTTATTTTAGTTTATTTAAACATATTATTGTTTTAGATTCCATCTACACGGAAAGATACTTAGATACTCCGCAGAATAATATTGGAGCGTACAGGAACTCCAGTCTCTTGTCGGATCAAGTGGTTAGTATTTGATTTCTTAGATTTACGCTAGATGTCGCCTGTTCCAAATATTTAAAAAAAACAAAAACCATCTACGAAGTAGGTTAAATATAGAAATAACTTTTTATATTAAAAGCGAAGAAAAGTATTTATGTTAATATAATAGGACGTTTTTGTATTTCTTCTAGGTGGAAGCTTACAGGCGTAAGAGCTATTTCCTTGTCCACGGGACAGAGGACGATAATGTCCACTATCAACACGCCATGTTGTTATCAAGATTGCTTCAGCGTAGAGATGTATATTTCCATCAAATGGTAAGTAGACCATTGATCTTAATAACTGACAGACCGTGAAGGAAAACATCGTGAGGAAACCTGGATTTATAATTTTACAATTATAAGTTTGAAATCACCTACTCGTCTTGAACAAGCGTGATAATTAATGCTCAAACCTTCTCCATGAGAGAAAGAGGCCTTTGCTCAGCAGTGGGCACTGATAGGCTTAAAAAAACTTAATAACCCCTCCAATTTTGTCTTTGATTTAAAATTCCAAAGTTTTATAGTAATAGATGAATTGTACTGAGTACATAAATTTTATCTTATTTATCATAATTCATGTATTTTCAGAGTTACACCGATGAAAATCACACTCTGGGTGGAGTGAAGCCGCATTTCTATCATGCTCTAGAAAAGTTCCTACGTGAAAACATGTTGTAGATTATATTGAATTATATAATATAGTAAATCAAGAAGCATTTAAATGTCATCCTATTATTACATTTTCAAAGTAATTGTTTGTAAATACCAAAAGAATCTGTAACCATTTCGGTACAGATATTTAAGGAGGACGGTGACTACTCATTAGTAAGTGAATCGTCTCCATTGATCCAAAGCATAGAAAAAAAGAAGCTTGATTTTTTAATAATATTAATATTAACAGTATTTAAAACTAAATGAGCTGCCAAAGTATTAGTCTGTTAGAAATAGTAATCACTATACGGACACTGTCCCGTTATTTCTAAAAAACTTGTTTGGATTTCAAATCACTCTTTACACCAAAAGAATGAGTGAAACATATTAAATGTTATACAAGTAATATTATATAAAATATTTTATATAAACTAAAACTCTGGCCTCATATATATTATGAATATTTAAAAATAAATGTAATAGATACAATGCAAACTTGATGTGAAATATATCAGAACATTAGATGCAAATGTTACTTAAATATGAATTCAATATTGTTATAGATGTTTTAAATAAATAGTGTATTTGTAAATAAATTTAATATTTAAGTATTAAATATTCAATGTATGTGCTTTATAAAATAATGTTTACGACGTCTTTTATTTCAGTCTTCCTATACTTTGTGTTTAGGTGATTTAATAAAGAGTGGTATAAGTCCTATTACAGATCCACACATAAATTCAAGCGATAAAGTAGGTATATGAGTAGAGTATATGAAAAAATGATATATAATTAATTTGTATTGAAGGGAACACGCAAAATACATAACTAATTAGCATAACAAAAGCGAAAACAAAGTTGGAGCGGTGGGTTTAATATAATTTTGATGTCAGTTGGGTTTCCAAGTTGGTTATAAGCTTGCGTCATGAGCGATAAACTTGTAATGCGGGGAAAGTTGAAATTTATTATAACTTACATAACTGTATGGAGATAAATTATTATGTAATACTAGTTGTTTGTTATTTAGTTGTTATGTAACAATTTTTTTATTGATTTTAATATTAGACTTATTTGCGTTTCCCTGGAACTAAATAGTAAAAAGTCAGTGGTGGCCTAGTGGTTTAAAGGTCCGCCTCTCATGTATGAGGTCGCGTGTTCGATCCTGGCAAGTACCAATGTGATTTTTCCGAGTCATATGTACTTTCTGAGAGTATTTAGACACTATTGATTAATGCATTCCCAAAGAGGGTCGATGTCAGGCAGGCGACCTGTCGTAAAAAGAATTATCCAAAAACTATTCACAACATGTAAGGCAGACCCTAGCTAAAGCTGGGAAATTGCCAGGTAGAAGAAGAAGTAAAAAGATTACTGATAAATATGTTTTCTAAGTATAAAATATTTTCAAGTACCGTGTTTAATTTTAAAATCTTAAAATAACGTGAGGTTGGCAAAGATTTTTACAAAGATATAAATAATGTAAATATTTTTTGATAATACATATTAAATTTAATTGGACGCGTTGATTAGTTTACCGCAACTGTAATCTTGAGAACATGACATGAATCATAAAACTGTCCCTCAAATAATATCTGAGTTATTAAGAAAATGTAATTCTATTAAAACAGTCAGCGTCATCATTCAAGCAATGTAATTATTAAAATTTTAAATGTTATCTAAACAAATTCGCTAAAAGAAATATAAATATTTTTTAAATATTAAATTCTATATATACATATATTACCAACAGAAAATACCATAACTTTTTCTTATGGACAAATTTTGTCATCATAGTTTCTTTTAAGGCATCATTTGACAGAAAATATTTCGAGCCAACCTTTCATACCTAGATCAGTCTTTTATTACTTGTATACTTCATATGGACAGTAAGAGTTTTAAAATTAAAATTTATCCTTCTTCCTTGATTTCATAACCCAACAGATTGCTACACCTTTAAAGATACCAGAGTATGACAGACATAAATGAAAGTAAGTATGATCATTAAGTAAATATAAGAAATATAAGTAACAACTTTAACGTTATTTGAGTTTGAAATCCTACAAAGATTTCCAAGTACCATTGCTTTGGGTTGGATTCTTTGAAGACAATTGAGATAACATTTTTATTGTTTTTTTTCTCCTAAATTTCTAATCTACAGATCCTTTACCACCAGATACGATACAATTTTAGTAACCAAAAATATCTACAATCTATAATAATGCTAACAATTTATTTATATATTACTCCTTGGAAAAGTAATCACGTTAATGTACCTTAAGAAATTAAAAGAGTATTGGTAAAGGGGCTAGGCTTAAAGGTTAAAGACATATAGCTGTTTGCGTCGCCACCCTTACTAAAAGCCTTCTACAAACCATTAGCGTGGAATAAGCGGGATTCATTACGTGAGAAAGCGAAAGTTTTTTCTTTTACCAAGAAATATAAAACTGTTTTCTAACTTCTCTCAGGGATAAGTGTTTAACTCTTTTAAGGTAATCTGTTTTTTTCTTTTATGTTTATTTTGGAATTTTAAATTCAGTGCGTATCTTGATCTAAGTGCTTCGAAATCTCTAGTAAATTGTACTATTAATATAAATACTATTTGAAACATTACCAAAATATTCTAAATAACATTTTTGTTAGTTCGAATGGCATAACAGTGAAATATATAATGTGTAAAAAGTTCTAGGTAAGATATTATATAAGATATTTATAAAAACTTTCTTTATGTAAACAACAATAAATATCATTCTTAAATTCTTGTACAAATTGATTGAATAAGCTATATGTAGGTAATAAATATCTTAAGAATAATTAGAGAAGCTGTGACAAGCAGAAAACAAACAATGCATGATATGCGGTTGAACTGTATTTAATTTTGTAGTGCCGAATAGACAACCAAGTCTATAGCATTATAATAAGCTTTATTCTTTTACGTATTTCTTGGAAGACATCAGCACTATCACTAGTTGAGTCAAAGGGTTTTGCTAAAAGTACTTCTTTTTATAATGTTGTGTGGTTAAAATGAATTCAAAGTATGAAGTTTAAGTAATCTAATTTATGTTAAATTATATGTATCATAAGATACAGTCAGAATGATCTAATCGTAACGATAAGATCATAATTTTAATTACAAAAGTTTAAATTTGAGTAAACCTTAGACACTCGTGGAAATAAAAATTAACATCAACCAAAATAAATGGCTTTTATAAAAAACTCGTTCTCGGCTTTAGATAATTTTCAGCATAATTAAACCGTCACATTAATTTAACTTTTTGCATTAACTTTAACGCCTTGGAAACGTGAAAGGGTTGGTATAATGAAATGACAATTTATTTTACGTTGAGACAGTTTAAAAAGTTTCCTTTTAATCTATCTGAGGAAATAAATAAAGTTATCTGCCATTTAAATGGGAATGATTTAGAATTTAGATGTTTTAGCAAACAATAAGATATAATTCCAAAGCCTCCACCCTTTATATTATCAGAGTTCTCGTGTATTCACATAAGTTCCCTCGTATTGAACTAACAGCTTTTGTGAAACGATTCCCAAATATAGAGCGGATGCTCGCCTAACACACAATATTGAGTTCTGGCTTTAGGATATTAAGGTGATGAAAGAAATGGCTTTGAAATATGAGTTTTTTTATCAATACAATTGCTATTTCAATCAGTTAAACGTGAAAGGTTAGTAAAGGAATTTAAATTTCGTTTATTTGATCGAGAAAAAGTATTTTATATCCATTGCGTAAATCTCTTAAAATGTTACCAACCTTTAGATGGTCAGATATTTTTGTTAACATTTGATACTATATTTATAAGAAATTGTCACGATCAAAGTCGCAGATCTTATAAATCTTAATAGTTAATTGAATACCAATTAGAAATTGGGGTCTTGATACTTAAAAAATGTAATTATGTAAGATATTTTAAGAAATCTTTATGGAATTCCCATACATTTCTTTACATAAGACAACATAAGGATAACTAATTAACTACATACGTACCCAATACACAAATACCCAAAGTGGACTTCTATAAGGTGATAGATTCAGACATATTTCTAAGACTATCTTCTCTGTCTGCGTGATTGACTGTTATCGTTTCGAAAAGTGATCTGCTTCCTTTTCCTATTTACTTCTATACCAATCGGAATCGTTTCAGCTGTTCACTCAAGTAAAATAAAAATACGGTAAACTGATAGACATTTATACTAGAATGTATTGAGCTCATTTTAATCCCTCAAATTATTCAATTAGTTAAATTCAATTTGAAAACACTAGATTCGTCATTTCGTTTTATGACAATTTAAATAAAACAACAGAGAAAAAATCTTTCCTAAATTTATTCTATTCAAATTATTATTGTAAAATAAAAACTTATTATCGTGAAAGCTCTTAGGAATACAAGCGTAGAATCCATAATGATTTGCTTTCATTATAAATCTTATTTATTCCCATTTATCGGGATTCCTATGTTAAACAGTAAAAACGATTTATTAAGCCATAACTGTAGTTGAATTATTTATGTGGTCATTGCGAAATATCAATTTTGTATTTATTATATAGGGAATAAATAATCCTCAAGTAGATTCAGCATGACTTAGGATATGTGGTTTGTGAAGGGCCAAAACCTTTCAGAAATCATTGAAGTAAAGTAGCTATTACACGCCTTCTGTCCAATGTCAAAGAACTAGCAGCACTTGACCTTCCGCATGTTTATTGTCTTTCTGGAGTCAGTTTGGGAGTATTAAAACCGTACAGAAGCCTATTTAAGTCTAAGTTCAGATTTCTTTGGTATTAGAATTTTATTTTTGTCGTCATTCTATTCCCTACAACATTGCTTGTAGAATGATTATACCATCAATTATTGTATTTTCTAACTCACTTTCATGAAAATGATGTTTTTGTTAATCATTGCATTTTTGTATGCCTCTTAAATAATTGTTTAATTTTTTTACTGAACTATAAAATGTAAAGATGAAAAACGAAATTTTTTACACATCATGGTTGCTTAACTCTAAAAAAAATAATA